TTTAAGAAAAAAAAAAAGCATTTTTTTTTTCTTTTTATTTTACGGGCGATTTGCATCAAACTTACACACCTGACAGTACGTAAGCCTATCTGTAAGGATGCCAATTTTGGAGAAAATTGGTTGATGTCAACCTCGGCCACAGATTTTAGAACCTTAGACTTTATTAATTTCTGTTTTTTTTTTCAATTGACACAAACGTTTACAAAACTGATTCATTTTTTATTCAATTTACATGAAACTTACACAGTATATGTGGAGGGCATGTCTCTACATTCAAGAGTTTTCATTTTTCTCTAAGTTCATTTATTGATTTTATAATAGCAATAAACATGCCATATTTGCAAAAATATTTTTGGTAACTTTGAACATTTGTATTAGGAAAACTAAAGATGTTTTCGAAATTCTATATCTCAAGGTCCTTTATTATATGCTAATGTGTCACAGAATAATTATATCTGAAACGTGTGCTCTGAAGTGTGGACTTGAAAATGTGTAAAAAAATGTTGAAAAAAACAAAAACAAAAAAAGTCACCCATTCTATTTACGCTGCAGTACTGAAACTTGGGTCAATTAAAGCACTTTTCATATACAGCTAGTCAAATAATATTGGTTGACATTGAACAACTTTGACTCTGACAACCTGACGCCCCCTTAAGTAGGTTCAGGAGGCCATTGCGGCCTCCTAAATATTTTCCTGTATGACCCAAATTTTTCCTCGATAATTGACCCTTTCTCGTTTGAGTCCGGTTCTGCTTTTCCTTATTGGGTACATTATGAGGTGCTGAAGTCATCCTGGTTGGCAGACTGCCCTTTCTTTTCTTTGGGGTGTGGCATTCTTTCTGTCGGACCCGCATGCTTGAATGGCGGGAAACTTCTATGCTCGTTCAGGTTTACCTGGGGGCGAGTTGGAGCACTTCAGTAGGTGCTTATTTGTGTCTTCTTCGTAAAGATATTGTCCAGGTGCAGCTTCACATGCAGGTTCTTGTCCTTTCGTCGTCTCTGGTGGCTGAGGATTTGTGCGCCCGAGGGCGGCTCTTGGATGTTCATCGCCCTATTGTCCGTTGACATTTGCAAATTCTGCGGTTATGCAGTATCTGCTGGTGGCTTTGGCTAGCTGTCTCCCTATGTCTGACGTGTTGGTTCTCTGTGGTGGCTGTTTCCCAGAGGGGTCGTACCAGGGTTCGGGGTTCCTTCGGTCGTGGTAGACCAGTGGTGCCAGTTTCAGAACAGGCGTTGCCCTCGCAGCCGGTGGTGTCTGGTCGGTCGACTTCTCGTAAGGAGCATCGACTTTTTTGCGGGTTGCCCCATTGACGGAGTGATGATGGAGGAGGCTCGTGCTGTTTGCTCACTCCTGGTCCTACTATTTGTGGATGTTTTGGGTCGTTTCCTTCGGCTTGCGGTGGCAATGGGTGGCTCCTCCTCCTGGGGGGGTGGGGGTAGGCCTCTTCTCCTGCTGTCAGGTTATCTTAGCTTGGGTGTGGTCAAAAGGCCCTCATCGGTCAGGTGGGTTTCCCGCTTATTTCCAGTCCCGTAACGGGACTGTACAGATCTGAGGTTCATTTTGGACTTGTCCCGTCTGAACCCCTGGATGACCACTTTGTCCCAGGTCCGGCTATTTTTGGTACCAGATGCTTTGATGTTTCTGGACCTACGGGATGCATATTGGCATGTCCCAATTATCTGGGGTTCCAGGGATTGGCTCATTTTTTTGTGGGGCGGCAAGCTTACCGCTTTCATTGCCTTCTATTCGGCTTGAATCTGGCACCTCGTGTTTTCAGACTCTTACCCGAGTCATGGTGACCCGCTTGCTTCCGCTTGGTTCAGGTTTTGATCTACCTCGACGACTGGCGGGTGTGGTCTCTCTGCGTGTCTGCTTGCCAGGAGATTGGTTCTTTCCCAGCTCACCGGGTTCGGGTTCCTTCTGAACTGGAGGAAGTCCCATCTGGGTCCCTCCCAGGTTCGGACTTGGCTGGGTCTTGTATGGGACTCTCAGACCGCTTTCTGTCTCTCCCTCCGGTGTCGTTGCTGTGGTTGCGGTCCCGCCTTCTACGCGATTGTTGGGTATGGTCTTCGGGGGCCTTGCGTCGGCTGCTGTGTCACCGGCTTCCTTTTGGGTTTTTTGGGGTTTAGGGCCATTGTGCCTACCTGAGTCCTTGCTCAATGTATACACACGGATGCATCGTCTCTTAGCTGGGGTTTTGTGACCAGTGCTCGCCAGGCTGGCCAGGGTCTGTGGGGTCCGTTCTATCATCAGGCTCACAGCCTGGTGTGGGAGTTCGCGGCAGTGTGGCTGTCGCTTCAGAGGGTTCATGCCTCTTGCAGATTTACGATCGGGCTCCATTCAGACTGCGCCACCATGGTTCATTGCCTAAACCGAGGGGGTTCGATGCGGCACTTTGCTTTTTTCGGGCTGGTTGCTTCAGGTGACTTGTGTGGTGAGTTCTCGGGGTTTGGCTCTCCTGGCGGTTCACATCCAGGGAGTGTCCAATGTCCAGGCGGATGGCCTATCCCAGTTAATTCACCTTTCCACAGAATGGACGGTCAACGCCGTCTCGTACAGTTGGTTCTGCTGGACACACGGGTGCCCGGAGGTGTTCCTCTTCGCGTTGGCATGGTCTATGTGGCGCCCTTAGATGTCATTGACCAGTCGATGCCTTTCGGCAGGACTGGTCGAGGTGGGGTTACCTTTGCCTCTTCCCCCTGGTTCCACTGTTACTTAGAGTTCTGGCTCGGTTGGAGACTTGCCAGGGGAGAGTTCTCCTGTTGACCCTTTGGTGGCCGGCCCAGCTTTGGTTTCGGGCAATGCTTGCTCAGTGTCCGAACCTTGGGACTTTTCTGCGGCTCCGCCTCTTCCAGCAGATCGGTCTGGTCCAGTACATGGCTAGTTCAATCTTCTGCTCTGATCTTCGCGTCTGGTCTCTCTGATGCAGGTCTATTACCATTCGTTTGGTGATTAGGTGGCTTCGTTGATGGTGTCCTACCTGCATGTTTTGTCTCGGCAGCAGTATGAAGTTTCCTGGTGATCCTTTTGTCATTTTTGTCTCTTCGTTGATTGTCTTCGTCCTTTCTCTCTTGGCTGTTTCAGGACTGTCATCTTATGCCGAATACTTTTTCCTCGTATCGTGTGGTGCTGGTGGAGCCGCTCCAGCTTGCGCTCAGGGTGAAAGTTACTTCTGCTCAGTTTTGCAAGCTGTCTCGTGCTTTGTTTCACCTCTGGCCTGCTCATGCGCCACCTGAGTCGCTCTGGTCGTTGAACCGGCTGCTCTCTTTTGTCTTCTCAGTTTGTAGTGGCCCTTTTGGTTCGGAATTGTTTTGATTAGTTTTTTTTCCTGTTGGCATTGTTCTCTGGGATTCAGGTCGGGGTGGCTTCATGCTTTCCTCCTGCTCGGGTTTCTGCTCTTTCGGTCCTGATGGTAGGTTGGTTTGTTTGCAGCCGTCTCCTCCTTTCTGGTGAAGAACAAGACGGCGGCTTTCCGGAAAGGTCCTTGGGTGGTTGATGCTTAGTTGGTTCGGCTGGAGGTGCATCACGTGTTTTGTCCGATTGCGGCTTTCCCCATTATTTGTGCGCTATGGTCTTGGTGGCTGAGGACATGCTTTGAGTTGACCCAGTTTCCCTTATTCCCTGTCGAGTCTCCCAGGTCATCCCCAGGGTTATTCGGTCCAGCCAGCCTGCTATCTATCCCCGTGCTCGTGACATTCGTAAATTTGGTGCTATGGTTACCATTTTTGGTAATATATCTTGGGCTGACATTCAGACGCAAGGGTTTTGGAGGTCGAATAGGGTCTTTGCAGTCCATTACCTTGTTAATGTTCCTTGCCCTAGTCAGGCATGTGTCGCTTTGGTTTGGAAGCTGTAGCCAGTTGTCTCGACTTTGTGTTGAGCTGCGAGTGGCGGCCACCTCCCGGATAAGTCTCTTACATTTTCTGTGGTTAGGTAGCTCTGGGGAGTTGGAGGGGCCTTCCACAGAAAACCAGTGTTGAATATTGTATAATGAAATGCCATTTTCTGGGAGAGTCCCGGAAGCTCCCAGCAACCTTCCCTTCCTCCCTCCCTTTGGTTGGTGGTACTCGTGTTTTTTTTAATCTCCAGTCTGAACTGGAGTTGGATGGCCGGTACGGGGGTCTAGGGCTCCCTCTTCCTTCTCCCAGGGAGGGGGAAGCTGAGGAGACAGCGGCACGGCGGCGGTTGTGCCGTCATGCTTGTTTGCTTGTTTTCATATTGGGGAGTTCTGCTTGATAGTTCAGCTTTCTGTAGCAATTTTGAACCAGGTGGAGTGTGTTTTGGGACATATACCTTTCTGGGTGCCTAACCTGGTCGATGGCAGACACAGAATGTTTCCAATGACATGGAGGTTTCTATAAGCCATTGCTCCTTGTGCCTCTCGGAGAGGGCCAGATTCTGGCTTGTGGTCCCTGGTAGGCAAGAATTCCAATTGAATTTACTGATGCTACGGTCTAATAAATACATATGAGCCCGGTAAGCTCCCGGGAAACCCCTTGAACTTGCTCAGAAAATGGCGTTTCATTATGTTCAAAGCTGGTTTCATGTACTATTTCACAGGCTTTATAGTCCCCATCACATTCTAGAAAAATAGTGTGCGCGCGCGCTCGTGCGCGATAATGCACGTGTGTGTGCATGTACGCACTCGTGCGCGATGGTGCTCGTGTGAGTGTGCACAAAATTAAGTGAACTTGCAGTTATTTATGCTTGACTTTCAAATAAATTGAATTTAATTTGAATAAAAGTTTTAAAAGTTTTAAAAGCAGCCTAGGTCACTTGGTGTTGTCTTATGGCACAATACTATAGAAGTTAATCATTCATAATAGATTAGATTTTCAAAGAGCCCAGTTTAATTATTCATCTTAGAATAAGAATACTACAGTATTTAAATTTTTTGATTGTACATGGTGTCTAGTGACAGATTACAATGTATAATTATGTTACTGCTGTGTTACCAAAGATGGAAGATGGTCATTCTAATTAGTTAAATTAATTCCAGGCAGCAGAAGTGGGGCATGAATGGTTACCTGTATGCACCTAAAGATGACTACAAGCATCGTGCAAATTGGCGTGAGCTGTATACAGTTGAAGAAGCAGAACATCTTACGGCCCTTATAACTGAAGCTCGCTTGCATGGTGTCACCTTCTTTTATGCCATTTCTCCTGGTTTAGACATTACTTATTCAAGTCAAAAGGAAGTTTCAGCTCTGAAGAGGAAACTAGAACAAGTTGCACAGTTAGGCTGCAATGCTTTTGCTATTCTGTTTGACGACATTGATCCTGAAATGAGTGGTGCAGACAAAGAAGTGTTTCAGTCATTTGCACATGCACAAGTGTCAGTTACCAATGAAGTTTTTACCCATTTAAGCCAACCTAAATTTATGTTCTGTCCTACACAGTATTGCTCTACAAGAGCTGTGCCAAATGTCCAGACTTCTGAATATCTTAATACCATTGGCCAAAAATTGGCTCCTGAAATAGATATCATGTGGACCGGACCAAAAGTCATAAGCAAGGTTAGTACTCTCTGATCCATCCTGCCTTCCCCCTCCCCCACCCTTCTTGGCAGTCTCTTCTTCCTCACTCCTGCTAGTCTTCCGTCTCTCTTACTCTACTCTTTCAGCTTTCCCTTTTTCTTTCCCACTCTCCTGCCGTTCTTTCTCCCCCTCTCCTTCTCTTCCTCTCCCCTATCTTTCTCCCCGTGCCTTTCTCGTCCTCGTCTTTCTCTCCTCTGACAGGAGTAAGCAATTTTAACACCTGGGTGAATTTCTTTTCTTTCTAGTAAACTGCATATTTGCTATTTCTAAAGATCTTCGAAGACTAACTTTAAAATGGCAAAATTCTTCTGAAATTGCCATGATCATTCCTAGCCATATATTATCATAATACCCACAGGCAATATATTGACACCTTTTTTGTGCAGGTGTACTACTCTCAATATGGTTAATTTTATTTATCATAAACACTGATGATTGCAGTTAGATGTTCAGTAAGCCTCTATTTGAGTCTTGGGAATTATTTTACAAAAGCTTTTTGTCTCCCTCACTGAAATAGCTTCATTCAACCTATTGAACAGTAGTAATTTATTTGGCTACACCTTTTGCTTTGCCCCCCCCCCCCCCAAAAAAAAAAAAAAATGTACGGCATTGAAATACATAGCACTAAAATCATACATAGCTTTTGGTGTCAATGTGTCCTGCATTGGTGCTCAGTGACTAACCATTGCTATACCTTTTCATAGTTCCTTACAATACCATCAATGGCATTCTTACCATTATCTGTCATAAATGTCATTCGGCTTGAACACCAAAATCTTTGTGATTGCAGAGGTTTATAAAATTGTTCCTATTTTTATATTGCTCACCACACCCATCAGAATAGTAAATACAGTGACACCTTTGTTTACATTCCTACTCCGGTCCCAGAGATGCGTCTACACCAAAAATTCGTACGCCAAAACAAATTTTCCCATAAGAATTCCACGTGAATTAAATTAATCCGTTCCACACCCCGAAAAATATTATCTGAAAAATACATTACTGTATATACAAAATTCTACTCAGATTTTTCATACACAAAACAATCGGGTAAAAATATAAAGCATAAGTAAAATAAGTGAACATGTATTTAACTGTACAGTACTTTACCTTTATTGAAGGACTCTTGTTGGCCTAGGGTGAGGAGGCAGGAGCGGTTGTGGTGTATGGGGAGGCAAGGAGGAGGAGGGAGGTGGTGGTGGTGGTGGTGAGACTGTCCTGTGCTTCTCATCCCTCCCTCCCTCCCTCTCCTCATCCCTCCCTCCCTCTCCTCATCCCTCCCTCCCTCTCCTCATCCCTCCCTCCCTCTCCTCATCCCTCCCTCCCTCCCTCCCTCCCTCCCTCCCTCCCTCCCTCCCTCCCTCCCTCCCTCCCTCCCTCCCTCCCTCCCTCCCTCCCCCCTTCCTCCCTCCCCCTTCCTCCCTCCCTCCCTCCCTCCCTCCCCCCTCCCTCCCTCCCTCCCCCCCTCCTCCCTCCCCCTTCCTCCCTCCCCCCTTCCTCCCTCCCCCCTTCCTCCCTCCCCCCTCCCTCCCTCCCCCCTTCCTCCCTCCCCCCTTCCTCTCCTCATCCCTCCCTCCCTCCCTCCCTCCCTCTCCTCATCCCTCCCTCCCTCCCTCCCTCCCTCTCCTCATCCCTCCCTCCCTCCCTCTCCTCATCCCTCCCTCCCTCCCTCCTCCTCATCCCTCCCTCCCTCCTCTCCTCATCCCTCCCTCCCTCTCCTCCCTCCCTCCCTCTCCTCCCTCCCTCCCTCTCCTCATTCCTCCCTCCCTCTCCTCATTCCTCCCTCCCCTCCTCATCCCTCCCTCCCTCTCCTCATCCCTCCCTCCCTTCCTCTCCTCATCCCTCCCTTCCTCTCCTCATCCCTCCCTCCCTCTCCTCATCCCTTCCTCCCTCTCCTCATCCCTCCCTCTCCTCATCCCTCCCTCTCCTCATCCCTCCCTCCCTCCCTCTCCTCATCCCTCCCTCTCCTCATCCCTCCCTCCCTCCCTCTCCTCATCCCTCCCTCCCTCCCTCCCTCTCCTCATCCCTCCCTCTCTCTCCTCCCTCCCTCCCTCCCTCTCCTCATCCCTCCCTCCCTCCCTCTCCTCATCCCTCCCTCCCTCCCTCTCCTCATCCCTCCCTCCCTCCCTCTCCTCATCCCTCCCTCCCTCCCTCTCCTCATCCCTCCCTCCCTCCCTCCCTCTCCTCATCCCTCCCTCCCTCCCTCCCTCTCCTCATCCCTCCCTCCCTCTCCTCATCCCTCCCTCCCTCTCCTCATCCCTCCCTCCCTCCCTCCCTCCCTCCCTCCCTCCCTCCCTCTCCTCATCCCTCCCTCCCTCTCCTCATCCCTCCCTCTCCTCATCCCTCCCTCCCTCTCCTCATCCCTCCCTCCCTCTCCTCCCTCCCTCCCTCTCCTCATCCCTCCCTCCCTCTCCTCATCCCTCCCTCCCTCCCTCCCTCTCCTCATCCCTCCCTCCCTCCCTCCCTCTCCTCATCCCTCCCTCCCTCCCTCCCTCTCCTCATCCCTCCCTCCCTCCCTCCCTCCCTCCCTCCCTCCCTCTCCTCATCCCTCCCTCCCTCCCTCCCTCTCCTCATCCCTCCCTCCCTCCCTCCCTCTCCTCATCCCTCCCTCCCTCCCTCCCTCTCTCTCCTCATCCCTCCCTCCCTCCCTCTCCTCATCCCTCCCTCCCTCCCTCTCCTCATCCCTCCCTCCCTCCCTCCCTCCCTCCCTCTCCTCATCCCTCCCTCCCTCCCTCCCTCCCTCCCTCCCTCCCTCCTCATCCCTCCCTCCCTCCCTCCCTCCCTCCCTCCCTCCCTCCCTCTCCTCATCCCTCCCTCCCTCCCTCCCTCCCTCCCTCCCTCCCTCCCTCCCTCTCCTCATCCCTCCCTCCCTCCCTCCCTCCCTCTCCTCATCCCTCCCTCTCCTCATCCCTCCCTCCCTCCCTCCCTCCCTCCCTCTCCTCATCCCTCCCTCTCCTCATCCCTCCCTCCCTCCCTCCCTCCCTCCCTCTCCTCATCCCTCCCTCTCCTCATCCCTCCCTCCCTCCCTCCCTCCCTCCCTCCCTCCCTCCCTCCCTCCCTCCTCCTCATCCCTCCCTCCCTCCCTCCCTCTCCTCATCCCTCCCTCTCCTCATCCCTCCCTCCCTCTCCTCATCCCTCCCTCCCTCCCTCTCCTCATCCCTCCCTCCCTCTCCTCATCCCTCCCTTCCTCTCCTCATCCCTCCCTTCCTCTCCTCATCCCTCCCTTCCTCTCCTCATCCCTCCCTTCCTCTCCTCATCCCTCCCTTCCTCTCCTCATCCCTCCCTCCCTCCCTTCCTCTCCTCATCCCTCCCTCCCTCCCTTCCTCTCCTCATCCCTCCCTCCCTCCCCCCCTTCCTCTCCTCATTCCTTGAGGTTATCTTGAGATGATTTCAGGGCTTAGTTGCCCCGCAGCTTGGTCCTCGACCAGGCCTCTACCCCCAGGAAGCAGCCCGTGACAGCTGACTAACTCTCAGGTACCTATTTACTGCTAGGTAACAGGGGCTTCAGGGCGAAAGAAACTCAGCCCATTGTTTCTCGCTGGCGCCCGGGATCAAACCCTTCCTTCCTCTCCTCATCCCTTCCCCCTTCCGTTCCTCATCCCTCCCTATATCTTCCCCTCCCCATCCTCCTCCTCCTTTCCTATCCTATCTGCCCCTGCTCCCCTTCCCCCCACTTCCTCACTTGTCCCTTCGCCTCCTTTTTAAACTATTCCATTGCTGCCGTCCTCTCTTGTAATGTCATCCAGAAATATCTTCAAACACTGATAGGAAACACCCAATTGTGATATAATTGCTGGCTACTGGTACACAATAACCTCATTGTATAGGAAGTAATTAAAAATGATGATACTAGAGCATTTACATTAGTCTGTGCTAATGTCATTATATCCATATAGTTAAGAGTTGTAGCTATATTTATGTAACTTGCATAAAAATCAGGCCATAATTTTCTAAAATTAGCATATGGTAACTGCATTTTAAGGGTTAATGCACAAAGTATTATGAAGGTTTGGCTCTAGATGAGGTACAGTGTAGCAGTTAAGTGTTACAAAACATGTTAGAAAATCCATTATGCTCTCCCCTATGCTTTATTTTTTAGCTTTGTAATAAATGGATATCATTACTGTAAATAGTTTGAAAACTCCTTAAGAAGGCTTAATTATTTTTCATATATGGTTTTATTTTTCCTCAGATTTTGAGTGTGGAACACATCCGAGAAGTTACAGAAGTAATGCGAAGACCTCCTGTTATATGGGATAACCTTCACGCAAATGATTATGACCAAGCACGCCTCTTCTTGGGACCATACTGTGGTCGATCTCCAGACCTTATTCCTCTACTCAGGGGTGTTGTTACAAATCCAAATTGTGAATACGGTCCAAATTTCATTGCTATTCACACTTTGGCACAGTGGTCCAAATCCTCAACACTAACCAGTTGTGATAATAGTAAGTGATGTCTTTCTTTATGATATTGGTATGTAAAGTCAGTTTAATCTTTTGAGCTTGTGCAAATTAATTTGTAAGCATCACGATCGTGCCATCCTTCTCTCGAGAACAGATTTAAATATGTAGTACTTGTTAAGATTTCAATGAGATCTCGAGGTTATCTTGATTTCGGGGCTTAGTGTCCCTGCGGCCCGGTCCTCGACCAGGCCTCCTTTTTGGTTACACACCCCCAGGAAGCAGCCCATAGCAGCTGTCTAACTCCCAGGTACCTATTTACTGCTAGGTAACAGGGGCATCAGGGTGAAAGAAACATTTTGCCCATTTGTTTCCGCTTCCACCGGGAATCGAACCCAGAACCTCAGGACTACGAATCCGAAGTGCTGTCCACCCAGCTGTCGGGCGCCCGAGAGATGCTTAAATTTTAAAAATATGTAAATTTTAAAATATTTTTTTTGTCTGCAGTTATATATTATACACGGCTTTAACAAAATTTAATACAGTGGGTGGAGTTCTGAACTTTTATATTTATCTAAATAGCACTGCTGCTGATCACAAATTTTACCCCCACCTTCTAACAACATTGTGTATGGTGTATACACACATCTCTCTGATGAATGAATGTTATTTTTAACGTGATAGTGAGAGGATCTAAAACTCACTTTTATTAACACTTTGGGTGCCCTGGCGGGCGACCCACCTTCCTCAGAGTCAGCAGAGTTGTGAACATGCCAGCCCCCACAAATGTTTATATTCTGTTTAGCTTTCTGACCTAAATTTTTGTGCGACGTTGTTCAGTTTGGCACCAAATGGTTTGCAATAGAGTGCTGTAAAGGCATATCTGCATATAAGAACAACTCGCTTTTCTATACGTATATATTTTTTACGTAAACTCGATATCGTTTCCCTCATACGTGTTTCTTTCGATGCTTTCTTCGTGGATTGGCTCTGTTCTTTATCAGTATCCATCTGGAAGTCAATTTGCAGTGTTTATAAAGTCGGGAACAACAAATGCCTGAACCCGAGATAAAATAATCAGAATGGGGACACTTTTAGACTTGGGAGGACGCGGCTGTCACGAGCGAGGTCTCGAGAACGATGAGCCTCTAGCACGGGTGGACGCCCACATGGCGGGGTCAGGATGCCACGTGGGGTATACAGAGAATGGGCAGAAGTTGGCGCGCATTTTAAAACAAATCCCGTAGTATCCCGTAGGCCCCGAGAGCATACTGCTCTGGCGTACGGGGAATGATGACGTCACGCCCCACCTTTTGGACCCCATAGCAGCCAAAGTAAGTACAATTTCGAACTTCCGTTGCTATACCCATATACAGGGAGGGTTTTTTGACACTTTCAGAAGAAAAATGAATTTTTTCCCGAGGTTTCATTTTCTGCGCACTGGGGGGTGTCATATTTATATGCCGCGCAGTTAAAGGGTTAAAAAGGTTAAGGCAATGGCCTACTGCACTGTGATTTGGGCGAGTCGTTTCAGCAAAAGTTTGCAATTCTTCCCATGCTGCACACATTTTCTTAATTAATGAGGAAGGGACATTCCGTACTGTCTCCTCCTCCCCTGAAGAAATTTCCTCAGCTGTGTCTTGTTGCTGCTCCTTGTGAAGGTCTTCGGTGGTCAGTTCTTCGCTGTGTTCCTCCACCAGCTCGCAACACACAACACTCACAACACTGTGAATGCCATTTCTTTTTCTAAATTTCTCAAACCGTCCCCTGCTCGCCTTGAACTCTTTCGCATTTGCATCACTCATTCCAGGGGTTTTCTTTAAAAGGTCTTCATGCAATATCCTTTCTTTTTCACAAATGATGACCTCTGAAACTCTATCACCCGCTAACTCCTTGCTGTGTATCCAAATTAATAATAACTGTTCAACATCCTCAAGTATTTGTGTTCTATGTTTTGTGATTATTGGTATGCCTTTTGCCACTTTAGCACTCATAATGTCCTTTTTCTAAGCCAGTATGGTGGTCATTACATGGGTTTTCATATGTTGATCCTTACCACTGACTTTCTTGGGACCCATGGCGTGATATATAATAATTACTTTTATGTTCAAAAAGCAAAAAATCACCACAAAAACGGAATTTCTTGTAGGCGTGATTGTCACTAAGCGGTCAGCTTTATTAAACCGAGGCAGGTCGGCCTGCGTGACCAGGAACCACGCGCTCGGTCGACCCGAACATGTACCAACAAATATCGTTAGTCGACGACGCCATCGTATGTCGAGTCTCATTTTTCGATCAAATTTACATCGTAACTCGAAATTATCGTAACTCGGGGCAATCGTAAGTCGAGGTGCCACTGTATATGGAAATTTTACGATTTTCCTCGAGATTTAATGTCCTGTACTGAAGTAAGGGCATCATTGTTAAATGGGCAGTGTTACTAACTCCTCAGTCGTAACCGGGTGTTTTTAATCACACTAATTCTTCTCAAGTCTAGAGATCTATAATCCCAGTGAAATGCAATGAAGTGTTTAACCCCTGGGCTGCTCTTATGATTATAGCCTGCAACACGCCCAGGTACAAGATTTAAAAAAAAACTTATAAAAGTGTTCATTTGTGTTCCATGACTGCAAGGGGGAAGGAATTGTAGGTGACATAAATGAAAAAATCTGTATTGTTATTTTTTATTAACATAGTTTTGATTGCTAATGCATTAAATTGTATTGCAGATGATGCAGTGAGTGCAGATATTAGACTTGAAACTGAAGGGGATGAGTCCAGTGATGATTGTCCAACTGGTTTGTCCCCAAATGCCTACCATCCACGAAGAGCTTTGCGAATGGCTCTCCAAGATTGGCTTGCAGAGTTTAACCATCCTGTGTCTGCTTTTGGAACTATACAGCAACCACAAATTCCAACACCTGTTCCTATATTGCCTTCGGTGAACACTTGCATGTCATTAACGTCGACTACTCTAGCCACTCCTGGACTTCCCCAACCAAATATTAATATCTTGGCTGAAGTTGTTCAAGATACAACTTTCAATCCAACCATGAATCCTATCATGAATTCTCTCGTATCTGAAAATAAAGTAATAGTAGACACGGGACACGAAGAGGCAGATACGGCATCTACCGTCTCGCAGGATGCATCATCCACTTCTGGTGTAGAACCAATGGATTGTAATCCATCTCCTGCCACTTCACCACCTCACAATGAAGATAGTATGATGATAGAAAATGGAGAAATTGCCAAAGTTGAAAGCGATGAAGACAGCACAACCCCGGTGATTGAGACTACTACTCAGGATGAGCTGAACTTCACAACCAAAACCTCACTTACTCTACCACTAGATGCTACTCAAGATAATTCTAATGGACTCACAGTTGATGATTTGCAACTGTTGGCAGATCTCTTTTATCTTCCATTTGAACATGGTAGACAAGGCATTAATATTATGAACGAGTTTAACTGGCTTAAAATAAACTCGCATCTTGTAATTGACCACAAGAAAGATGAAGAAGACACTAAGCCTGAGGTTAGTTTTGCATCTTAGCTAATTTTCATACAATGTGGGGTCCATTAAAGATGTGCACAATCTGTAGCATATTTAGAATGGTCTTTGAGCCATATTAAAAATGTGTTTTATTTTAGTACCTGTAGTACACAAGCTGATTTGGAACAGAAATCACAATCATTCACACTTCACAATAGTGCCCCCAAACAGGAAAGTGCATGTGCTTTCAAAATGTCCTGTGTTGCACATTTTATAGTTTAATTGAAGTACAGTACACTGCACCCTCAGATCCAGACCTCTAAATAGTGGACCAAATTCGGCCACTGTTGCCACAACTCCAATGGTGATGCCCCCTCCCCACTCCCCCCTCCCCACTCCAATGGTGATGCCCCCTCCCCCCCCCCAATGGTGATGCCCCCTCCCCACTCCAATGGTGATGCCCCCTCCCCACTCCAATGGTGATGCCCCCTGCCCCCCCCACTCCAATGGTGATGCCCCCTCCCCACTCCAATGGTGATGCCCCCTCCCCACTCCCCCCTCCCCACTCCAATGGTGATGCCCCCTCCCCACTCCAATGGTGATGCCCCCTCCCCACTCCATGCCCCCTCCCCACTCCAATGGTGATGCCCCCTCCCCACTCCAATGGTGATGCCCCCTCCCCACTCCAATGGTGATGCCCCCTCCCCACTCCAATGGTGATGCCCCCTCCCCACTCCAATGGTGATGCCCACTCCAATGGTGATGCCCCCTCCCCACTCCAATGGTGATGCCCCCCCCTCCCCACTCCAATGGTGATGCCCCCTCCCCACTCCAATGGTGATGCCCCTCCCCACTCCAATGGTGATGATGCCCCCCCCACTCCAATGGTGATGCCCCCTCCCCACTCCCCCCTCCCCACCCACTCCAATGGTGATGCCCCCTCCCCCCCTCCCCACTCCAATGGTGATGCCCCCTCCCCCCCTCCCCACTCCAATGGTGATGCCCCCTCCCCACTCCAATGGTGATGCCCCCTCCCCACTCCAATGGTGATGCCCCCTCCCCACACCAATGGTGATGCCCCCACCCCCCTCCCCACTCCAATGGTGATGCCCCCTCCCCACTCCAATGGTGATGCCCCCTCCCCACCAATGGTGATGCCCCCTCCCCACTCCAATGGTGATGCCCCCTCCCCACTCCAATGGTGATGCCCCCTCCCCACTCCAATGGTGATGCCCCCTCCCCACTCCAATGGTGATGCCCCCTCCCCACTCCAATGGTGATGCCCCCTCCCCACTCCAATGGTGATGCCCCCTCCCCACTCCAATGGTGATGCCCCCTCCCCACTCCAATGGTGATGCCCCTCCCCCCCTCCCCACTCCAATGGTGATGCCCCCTCCCCACTCCAATGGTGATGCCCCCTCCCCACTCCAATGGTGATGCCCCCTCCCCACTCCAATGGTGATGCCCCCTCCCCACTCCAATGGTGATGCCCCCTCCCCACTCCCCCCTCCCCACTCCAATGGTGATGCCCCCTCCCCACTCCAATGGTGATGCCCCCTCCCCACTCCCCCCTCCCCACTCCAATGGTGATGCCCCCTCCCCACTCCAATGGTGATGCCCCCTCCCCACTCCAATGGTGATGCCCCCTCCCCACTCCCCCCTCCCCACTCCAATGGTGATGCCCCCTCCCCACTCCAATGGTGATGCCCCCTCCAATGGTGATGCCCCACTCCAATGGTGATGCCCCCTCCAATGGTGATGGTGATGCCCACTCCAATGGTGATGCCCCCTCCCCCCCACTCCAATGGTGATGCCCCCTCCCCACTCCAATGGTGATGCCCCCTCCCCACTCCAATGGTGATGCCCCCTCCCCACTCCAATGGTGATGCCCCCTCCCCACTCCAATGGTGATGCCCCCCCCACTCTAATGGTGATGCCCCCCACGCCAACACCACCCACGCCAACACCACCCACGTCCCCCACGCCAACACCACCCACGTCCCCACGCCAACACCACCCACGTCCCCCACGCCAACACCACCCACACCCACCACGCCAACACCACCCACACCCACCACGCCAACACCACCCACACCCACCACGCCAACACCACCCACGTCCCCCACGCCAACACCACCCACACCCACCACGCCAACACCACCCACACCCACCACGCCAACACCACCCACGCCCCCCACGCCAACACCACCCACGCCCCCCACGCCAACACCACCCACGCCCCCCACGCCAACACCACCCACACCCACCACGCCAACACCACCCACGTCCCCCACGCCAACACCACCCACGCCCCCCACGCCAACACCACCCACGTCCCCCACGCCAACACCACCCACGTCCCCCACGCCAACACCACCCACGTCCCCCACGCCAACACCACCCACGTCCCCCACGCCAACACCACCCACGCCCCCCACGCCAACACCACCCACGCCCCCCACGCCAACACCACCCACGCCCCACCACGCCAACACCACCCACGTCCCCCACGCCAACACCACCCACGTCCCCCACGCCAACACCACCCACGTCCCCCACGCCAACACCACCCACGTCCCCCACGCCAACACCACCCACGTCCCCCACGCCAACACCACCCACGTCCCCCACGCCAACACCACCCACACCCACCACGCCAACACCACCCACGTCCCCCACGCCAACACCACCTATGCCCCCCACGCCAACACCACCCACACCCACCACGCCAACACCACCCACGTCCCCCATGCCAACACCACCCACACCCACCACGCCATCAACACTGCCTCACCTCCTTCCACCCACTGCTCCACACTGGCCCCCCCCCCCCCCAACCTAAATAGAGCTAAATAGAGTATTGTACTTGCCCATACACCAGAACTGGTGTTATCATTGGTTTTTGGCTGGTGGAGTGCCTTTTTCCATTTTCACATGTGAGCATTGTTTTTCTATATGAATCTGTGCTGCATGTTCTGTTGTGCTTGAGGTGAATTCTGTTGAGATTTTTCTTCAGGTTTTTTCTCTCTTGTTGAGAGCTTTCATCCCTTGACCCTCGGGTGGTTTCCATTTATGTTCTCTCGGCCTGGGCTTTGTCGCCGTCTTTGACTGTGGCATCCACTTTTTCTGGTGCAAGTGTTCGTGGCATTCTGGATACCATTTCCACTGTCTTTCCTGCGGGGTTTTCCTCTTTTAGTAAGTACCTCTGTCATTCCAATGCATCTTCTAGGAAAGACTGGCTCATTTCTCTCGTGTCAGCTGGTCTCTGAGGGTAACCTCAATTTTAGGCTTTAGCCTTTGGTGGTATTCTCTTACACTGCATTGCCCCCTCCCCGCTCAGCTCGTTGTCGCCGTGTGGGGGCTTCGTGGGCGGCTGCCGGAGTGTGATGCTCCTTAGGACAGTCCTCTGTCCTTTTCTAGCCTTGTGCTCCTGCTGCCGTCCTCTCCAATTCTGCTGGGCACCTTTTCCTTTTCCTTCTGTTTCGTTTTTCTCCCCCCTCTTCTCCTATCTGCTTGCCGTTTCCTGCCGACCTTTTGCTCGTTCTGGTTCTTCCATGGCCTTCTTCTATTTTGACGCCCGGGTGCTTGAGGAGGCATACTCCTGCACCCGTAGAACTGCAGTACCCGACGTCGAGAGCGAGGGGAACCTTTTATTGTCAATCCCCACTTCGTCACTGAACCCGATCTCGACGGACTGTCGGTTTCTTAAGGTGGCGTTTGTGGGGCGTATACTCACGACACACCCCTAGGAGGCCCCGACAAGATCGGCGATAGCTTCTTGTTGGGTGTCCTGCCTCTAATTGTGGCTCCATGGTGGGTGTGGGGGCACATTCGTGAGTGAATTCTTCTTTCGTCAAGATGATAACCCCTGTTTCGGCTGCTTCTGGCTTACCTTCTCAGGCTCGTGGGGTGGGCGACCAAGCCCCCGAGTCGGTCCGTATTGGAAGACCGGGCTCTGTAGCCTCCGCTGCATTGGGCCCCGACCTTGCTCCTCCTTTGGCCTCTCTGACTCCTTCCCCTGGCTCCCCTCCCTCCTCTGTGGTTGGGTCGAGCCCCAAGCCCCCAGTGGTGACTACCTCGTCCCCTGGCGCGGCTCCTTCTCTAGTTGTAACTACTGCGCCTTTTAACCCCTCTCTCTCTGGGGGTTCTCACCGCCGTCCTCGTCACGGCCGCCCTCGCTCGATTCCTTCCAGTTCTGCTATCTATCAAGCCTTGTTTGGTCCCGCTTCGTGGGCCAAATATTTTGATCTCCTCCCTCTTGATTCTGCGCCTCCTGACGATTTCTCCCTTCATCGACATCTCATTGATTCCGTGGATGCCTCCATTACTTTCAACCCCACTCGTCTCGGTACACGTGTCGTTGCTGCTCCTTCTCAGGATGCTGCTTCCCGCTTGGCTGCCTTATCCTGCCTTGGCGAGACCCCCGTTCGGGTCTCGAAGAACGCTCAGTTGAATGCCAGTGTTGGCACTATTTTGCTCCCGCCCCATGTTGCAACCGGTGTTCGGGACCTGCGCGACTGCCACGACGATATTCGACATATCCTCGCTGCCCAGGGCCATTCTATTCTCTAGGTGGACACGTTTACTCGTCCCCCTCGTGGTAGTCGCCGTCAACCCCTCCGGGTTGTGAAGATTACCTTTGATGGTAGGACCCTTCCACCCTCTGTCATTCTTGCTGGTGCCAGGTGCTCTGTCCAGGAGTACATTCCTTCTCCTCGGCTCTGCAACAAGTGCTGGAGGTTTGGGCATGGTGCCCTCCGCTGCTCCGGGACTGTCTCTCTCTGTCCTTTGTGTGGTGGCGAAGGTCACTCTAAGTCGGAGTGCACTTCTCCCCAGGCTCGTTGCCTCAACTGCGGTGAGGCCCATCCTACCTTCTCCCGTGCGTGTGTCCATTACAAGCTTGAGGCAGCCGTCCTCAACCTGAAGCACCGGGAGCGTTTATCTTTTCCTGAGGCGAGGCGCCAGGTTCGCCGGCTCCCGCCTTATGCTAATATCTCTTATGCTCGCGTGTTGCGCTCTTCCTCTCCTCGTCCTTCCCGCCT